TTATGTTGAGAAAGTGAAGTGCACTGTGTTGTTTAGGCAAATCAACAAATGGACAATATACTATATATTCAATAACTAAAATTACTACTGCTACTAGTGAAATAACTATTATGCACTTAATGTAATTGTTTCTTTTTTCCTTTTGTCTGCTACAGGGCCACACATCAGGAAAGCTTCCTAACCAGTCTGAGAAGGCAAACTCTAGCAGCTCTCCACCCACAGGCACCCCTAAATCCCAAAGTGGAACTCCACGGCCAGCCTCTGCAGGAGTTGGAGGCCCATTGCATCCTGCAGGGACACCGTCATCAGCGGGACACTCTGATAATGAATCCTCTCAGACCAGACCTGGCGGAGTTTCCAGCAATAACAATATCGTTGTCCATAGGTCAGAGGGAGGAAGCACGGCCACACCTGCAGGCCCAGTCCCAGGAACTGGAGATGGGGAGGGTGCAGGGGGTATGTCTCTTCCTGTTGCTACTGTTTCTCCCTCGGGCAGTCCCTCCATTCTTTCAGCACACCTACAGGGTGATACAGGCCAGAGAGGTGGCCCAGGGCACACGGATGGTCTTTCCAAAGAGCAGCTGGAACACAGGGAACGCTCTTTGCAGACACTGAGAGATATAGAGAGGCTGCTTCTGCGCAGTGGGGCAAGTGGAGGCCCAGGAGACACAGGAGGCTCCAACAACAATTCTAGTAATAATTCCTCCAACCTAAATAATAACAACAATACTGATAGGAGCGGTATACTCGAGGACAGTGACAATGGTACTAATAACTCTGGAAACTGCAGTAGTGGTAATATGCTATCCTCAGCCTTGGCTCCAATGGGGGGGATGAAGAAATATGAAGAACCCCTTCAGTCCATCATATCTCAAACACAGTCCCTTGCTGGACCTGCCCTTGACAGCCCTCAAATGGACTCTCACCATAACCTACCACAACACCCCCATCACCAGCTGTCTTCACCTGGGGTGGACATGGGTCCATTACTTGGACCAGAAGGGCTGACCCCAGAACAAATGGCATGGAGGAAACTTCAAGAAGAATACTACCAAGAGAAGAGACGACAACAAGAGATACAACCCCCCACACATCCACAGCACTTTAGAATGATGACAGAAATTGGCATGCATGGAGGTCCTATGATGATGAGAGGACCCCCTCCTCCCTACCACAGCAAGCCTGGAGACCAGCAGTGGGGTCCTGGCAATATGATGGGAGGAGGAATAGGTGGAAATGCACGAATGATGGACATGCACCAAGAGGGACCCCGTGGCCCCAGGTTCCTGGGACAAATGCAGAGAGGGCCACCGGGGGGAGGCGGTTTTCCTGGTAGTGCAGGGGGAGTTTTATCAGTGGAGGGTCTCGGACCTCAAAGGCCCACCAGGCCAGGGATGATTTGGCTTGATGATATGCCCAACAACATAGGCGGCGGAGGTCCCTTTCATGGCTGCTACCCTGGTGGACCTCCTCAGCACATGCAAGGGGACCCAGAACATCTGTTAACACATGAGGAAATGTTTCGCCTCATGGAGAAACGGCAAATGCAGGGGATTCCCAGGTTTGAACTTGACAGATTGGCTAAACAGCAGCAACAGGGCAACCTTGGTTCAAGAATAATAGATAATCCTGGAGGGCCAGACTTCCACAGTTTGGGAATAGGCCGGGGTCTACCCTCAACTCGAGGTGATCCTATGGACTTTCCTGGTTCACGGGAGATTATGGGCTCTCCTGGAGGGGGTCCTCAGATAAGAGACCTGGTGGATTCTCATTTAGGGAGCAACCTCCCAATGAACATGAACCCACAGATGAATGTTCAGCAACAACAGCAGATGATGCTATCTCAGAAGCTCAGAGGAGGTCCTGCAGGAGGAGGGCCTTTAGGTGACATGTTTAGCCCTGGAGAGATTTCACGAATCAGGGCTTCACAGAATGGAAGAGGAGCAAATAAGGGAATGATCCCAGGACCTGATGGCCCCTTCCAGTTTCCTCATCAAGGTCCCTTCTCTGGAGGACAAGTAGATGGGCCTTATCTTCAACAACCTGGGCCTGAGATGTTTGGGCCTGAGCAGCAAGGTCATAATCAAATGGGAGGTACATCACGGCTTAGTCATATGCCAATGACTGGAGGCCTCAGGGGAGTAGACCTTGGTCCTAGGCACCCCTCTGACCTATCAATCAATGTTAACCCGCTGACCTCTCCTTCTGTGCCTCGTCCCCATCAACTCAAATCTCCATCCCTCAACCAAGAGCCATCTCCTCTTCTACCTTCCCCCTCTGCTCCAGGACTGAAGTCACCCTCACAGATCTCCTCTGCAGGGCATCACCCCACTCTTCCCCCTGCGTCTGGTGCTGGGACTCCCTCCTCTTCTTCCATGAAGTCCCCCCAGATAATGGGGTCTACCAACCTTGGGTTGCACTCTCCATCTGCTTCTCCTGGACGACTCAAGTCCCCTGCCATGGCTGTGGGCTCTCCAGGGTGGGCGTCTCCCAAAACAGCTCTTCCAAGTCCAGGTGGTCCAACGAGTGGGAAGGTAGTGGGCAATGGAGGAAGTAGTTCCACTGAGACAGGTACACTCAAAATCCAAGATGATGTTTGATCATTATTAAAGCGGTTCCTTTCATTAATGTGACATTAATTCTTTTTAATGTTCTTTGCAGGCCAATCACTTCCCCCCAGGAGTTCCAACTCTACACCTATTAGCCAACCAGGCTCTATGAATCCTAGTATGCCATTTACTTCCTCTCCCGATAACCCTCCATCTCAGAATCCTTTATCTCTTATCATGTCTCAGATGTCCAAATATGCCATGCCCAGTTCTACTCCTCTCTACCATGATGCAATCAAAACAATTGCCACTTCTGACGATGAGATGCTGCCAGATCGACCTCTTCTATCTGGTGTCAGCATTGGAGGTATGAAAGCGAGGATACATTGTGACACATACGGAAAATACCCTATACAGTTCTGCAGTATGTAGAGAGGAAGCAGTAGAATGACTCTGGTTCAGTGTGTCATTAGTAGATGCTGCCATGCCATCAGAGAAAGACGGACTGACTAAATAAATAAATAAAATGTGTTTATTCGTAGATCTATATTGCTTTTCCTGTAAAAACCTTCTCTCAGCCAAAACCCTCATATTATAGTAGTGCTGCTTGAAAATATGAATAGACCCCCAATTAATATTTCAGTATAATGGGTTGAGGAAAAGGGCAGTCTATTTTCAAATGTTAATAATGTGATTTTCCACATGTTGGTTTTGTTTTATCACCAGGAAACATGGGGAACTCCCAGACCTCCCAGATACTTGTCTCCCAGGGCTCCATCGGTCCCCACAGTGATCCACAAAGCCCCATGGGTATTGTGAGCCAAGGTCAGCAACACCTGCCCCATGATGCCTCAGGACCTGTGCTTTCATCCCCAAACCAAATGGGCATGCCTGCCATGAATTCTGCCATGATGGGAGGAGGTGCACCTGAAGGAATGGGGCCCTGCAATGTTTCACCTATGTCTCAGAACCAGATGACAGGTTTCCCTCGCATCCAGCCACCACCTCATGGGCACATGCACTCACCTATTGGAAGAATGTCACAGAATTTCTCTCAGTCGAATGAGGATATTCTCCCACCTCAGCAGTTACACCTACTTAGAAAAGGTCATCCTCACCAGCGCCCCTCTCATCCCTCAGACTCATTTGCCTCTTTGCCCATGGGGGATGGCCCAGATCTAAGTGAAGTTATACGACCCTCTCACACAGGGATCCCTGAGTTTGATCTCTCCCGCATCATTCCTTCTGATAAGCCCAGTAGCACTCTTCAGTATTTCCCAAAGAGTGAGCCACATCAGAATCCACATCAGGGGCCACCATCCCAGCAACCTACTCCACAGCAGCTCCTCAAACAGCTATCATCTTCTGGCCCATCGTCTAACCCCCACTTAGCAAACCTACAGAATATGATGGCTGAACAGCAGCTGCCACTTCACCCCTCACATGGTGGAATACGCCAAAACATGGGCATTCCTCAAGGGGGCACTAGGGGTATGGTGTCTGGTGGGGGTATGGGCCCCATGTGCCCCCCTGGACATATGATGGGAAGGACAGGCATGGTGCCCCAGCAGCAACTCCAGCAACAGCAAGCCATGATGGCAAACAGCCTTCTCCACCATCCTTCCAATCCTTACCCTGGCATGATGTCCTCTCAGCAGCACCCACACAATCTGATGGCACAGCAAAACATTATGATGATGCAGGCTAAGCAGCGAAGCATGCCAATATCCGGGGATCCCTTTGGTCCCCAGGGTCCTCTAATGTCCCCTCAGGGTCCCATGATGGCCCCTTCCCACCCACAGTCTGGTATGATGGGCCCCCAGTCTCTCAGACAGCGGGGAATGTCTCTGGACAGTCCTATTGGCTATGGCCCTGGAGGTATGGCCAATATGCCATTCTGATCCAGCTAACATAAACTGTATAAAAAAATCATGTCCACTAGGTCACCTTCCCACTGAGTCCAGTTTTTTCATTAATGTTATTCTTGCAGTTATTTGAAAAGAGGAACTGTAAAAACAATAAATCAGTGATACTCTTTAAATTTTGGATTACACCTGATGAAAACTGAATATTTAAAAGCACTGTAACACAGTTCAATAACAAATCTGAAGCCATTTTCTAAAATACTGTAAAATATGTATATTTCAAAGATGTGTGTATTTGTTGTGGGAACAGAGTGGCAGTCAGGAGAGGAGTGCCTCAAATTTCTATTTGTTTTAATATCATTGATTTATTTTCTCCAACTACCAAACTGTTGTGCAAAGGAATTATATATAATATATACTTGCTGTATATAAGATGCAATTTGTGATTGTTTGCAGTTGTTCTGTATAACAGTGTTTTAATAGAAGTCTAAAAATAGAATAATACTGATCTCTAAGGTGGTTTTAGTTTTGGTTATTGTGTTGTCAATTATTGTTGTTTGATAACACTGACAAGGGGACACAGTTGCTGTATAATATATGAAATCTTTATTAAGTTCAAGTAGCAGAAGCTAAAATACAAGCAAAAAACAGTTTCCGGCCAACAATAACATTTTTTTCTTGACTGGGTAAATAAAACATCTTTTAAATGCAATCAAAGAAGCAATGGGTACTGTATTGTCAGAACATCTGATAAAATTTAAAACATCATTACAAATGAAATATTGCAGAACCAAACGGAAGCATTTTAGTTACAGCTGACATTGTATAAGAGTTAATTAGATGAGGATGGTGCTGGTTGTTGTTGCTCCATCAGAAATGGAAGGGCGACTGTGACCTTGAGGTCTAATGAAAGATAGGCAAACTCGGCTGCAGCCCAGTTTACAAATTAAGCGTATAAGCTCCCTGCGAAACCGCACCCCAACAAAGGCGTACAAGAAAGGGTTCAGGCAACAGTGTGAGAACCCCAGGCTCTTCGTCAGATCAAGGGCGGGAGGCAGGTTGACCATAAGTTCACAGTTTATATTATATTGGTCACTCACAGTTTTTATCAGTAAGGTGATATTATAAGGCAGCCAACAGAAGAAAAAAATGAGAGTGACAAGGACAGCCAATCGAATTGCCCCTTGCTTAGCTTTGCTTTTTTGACTGTTGCGCAAAGTAACTACCACTGCTGTGTAACAATAGCTCATGACAGCCAGAGGTAGGAAAAAGCACAGATGATCTAAAACTCTGTTGGCCAAAACCCAGTTGCTTGCATGGATAGAGAAATGATGATAGAAACAGGAGAGCCTAGGTGTGCTCGTAGGGTCTTCCTTTACAGAAAGAAACACAGCATTGGGTACTGATAAACCAAAACAGACCAGCCACAATAACATGCATGTCAGGTGCACTGTTCTTGGACGTCGACTTTGCATACTAGGAATAGCATGAACAATAGCCAAATAGCGATCAAACCCAATGCATGCTAGAAGGAAACACCCACAGTGGAGGTTAAGATTTTGCATCAGGCCAATAAGCTTGCAGAGAAACTCCCCAAACAGCCAACCATTTATATTTTCAACTACATAAAAAGGAAACGTGACAAGGAGCATGAGGTCAGCCAGGGCGAGGTGCAGCAGGTAGATCTCAGTGATGCGCAGGAGGCGCCAACGTCTCAGGAGGACTGTTATCATCAGGCCATTCCCTGCCACACCCAGCAGGAAGCTCAAGCTGTACAGCAGAGGTTGAAACATGGCATGAAAGGTCTGCCAGCCAATCCCCTTATTGTCCTCACAGAAGGTTTCTTCTTCTTCTTTTATGTTGCTGTAATTGTAGTCTGTGTCATTCCCCAAATCATATGAGTCACCCAGCTGTAAAATATAAAGAGGAAAATGTTCATATGAAGTATTTCATCACAGTTTGAGAATTATGTTTGTGTTGTGGAATAATACACAATTGTATAGTCAATTGATTTGGGCTAAGTTCTAATAGTTGTTTTTTTATAATGGAATGAAAAATTAGTTGTAACATAGTCTGTTAATGTAGCTTTAAAAGAACTACCTTGATTTGTGCTTTGTTCCTTGTGGTTTTCTCAGTCAAATTATTAGGCAGGAAACACCGAATATGCCGCTTTTTTCACTTCCCCTTCACAGTAAGTAGGAAACATTTTGTGGTATATATGCCAAAACATCATACTTTGGCTGTATACTAGTAAATGAATCCTGTTGACTTTTAACCCCACAATCAACAAAATAATATTACATCTGCAGGAGAAATCAGAGCTGTTAAAACCTTTCTTGTTACTTTAAATGGCTACTGCTCAGGAAAAGATTTAGTGACTGAAGGCCTGCGAAAATTGCCATTTCTCTATGTTTAGTAATGTGTTAGATCAGTGGCCCAGAAAAACACATCTATCTATCTATCTATCTATCTATCTATCTATCTATCTACTGTCCATATTATTAAAAAATGGGTAAAATGTTATATACAAACATTTATAGTATTACACATACTGAATATATCCTCTTAAATTTCATCGCATTCCAATGTATTATTAGTAACAGATTGCTGTGCTCTGGTGCTCTGGAGAATAACAATGTCTTTGAATAAGACCGTAATACATATTTTTATATTTAAATATATTCATGATTCTTTGAAAAAGTATTCTGTTTGATGAAACAAAACTTTATGTTTCAAAACTATAAACTGTAATTATAATTTATTCATGTAATAATTGTTGCCGTTACCTTTAATGTTATTATTGAGCCTAAAATTCATAGTGACAGTTACACTATAACTTGCACTTATATCACTTTTTTTAATGTTAGAATGTAACTTCTTTACAATAATCAAGTTTGTAAATTACATACATTTAGATTCATATTATAAGCAATAATCATCAGGAAGATAATATGTTTTGCTGAACGACTCTGATTTGAAATCAGAAATAGTCACAGATAGAATTGAATTGGTTTAAAATTATATTATTTTTTACCATATACACCAGTGTCATTATAAATGAATTGGAAGCTATTTGAAGCTTGTGATTAGATCCTCTTTTCACAAGAAACGTGATGAATTACAGTGTTTTCTCTCTCTCTTTTAATTCCCTAGTGAGTCAACGGGAAGGACACAATATGTAACAAACCCACATCTGTTTAGGTGCATTTTTATGGTTCAGTAATTCAAGCCACTCTAGTTCATGAATTATGTTTCTCAACTTTTTGGCAATTTTAAAATCCTATAGTTTAAGCTTAATCATAGAGAGCAGCAATATGTTGCTTGCTACCTTGAAAAATGCCAGATGCTGCAGTGGAGGCTTAGAAAATGTTAAAGATTTATGCAGAGTTATGCTGTACTGTTCTTAATAGTAAGCTGTAGCATCTGGAAAGTGCCTACTAGAAATTTAAGGATATTTGACAACAGACCAAATCAAGCCTTTTGCTATGACACCCACTCTTTTAAGACTAAAAAATACAAACTAAACATACACACAGGCAACATTTCAGTATCTCAAATTAGATTTGAATCAATCTGTGACCTGCTATAGACCTTTACAAACATCTATAGCAGTTCACAATTCACTTCAACAATTCTTACTTATGTCTTACCTCAAAAGCTTGAAAGGTGTTTGTTACAGCCATGTGGGTTAATCTCAGTCACTTGAATGTGTATCTTTCACTGCCGTAATGAAATGTGCTTGTACTTCCTGTTACTGCTGGTTCTTCTACATTTGCTTCGCTGCTGTCTTCATTAGCGGTGCGTTTGGCAGAAACAGCAAGTCAAATCTGACAAAAGGTTTCAATACCAGGCTTCTTATACTGTAGTACACATGAGAGAGAAGTAATGCAAGTCCAAGTAACCACACCCCACAGTACATTGTAGCTTTGACAAGCTAGAGTCAATCATACAGAACTAGACAGATTTATATGGGTATTTTTGGCAACACACCCTTATAAATCTTATAACATCCAGCCATCCTCTGACAAGAAGAATATGTTAATGTGGGATAATCATACACACCATCCAGCTTTGTCACTGGTATCAGTTCTGTTTTTGATTGTAATTAATAATTTACCTCAAGAAGCTATCTTGCAAAATTCTGGGGGGCAGTGAGAAATGGGTTTGTAACCAAAAAGTCTAATTTGTTGTAGGTAGCTGGTTTGCAGGATACATTCAGGTGGGAAAAGCCACTGAGGAACCGATCCTCAACCCTCAACTCTTCCAGTGAAACTGCTCCGTGGCTGTATTAGGCATCTCTCTTGAATGTCTGAGTATGGACCTGGCGTTTCTGAAAAACAGAGCACATTGCTGTCAGTGATATGCCCATTAACTAAAGTTTTCAAAACAGCTGTACATGGATATTCAGTAAATATTACATATTGATTCCAGCACTGGTATAAAACTATAGAAAATAAATAAATAAATAAATAAAGACCCCCTTTATTATCCACATGCCACCCTTAATTCAGGGCTACTCAGCTGTTGAATCGTAAAGCTTCACAATTGTATTTTTTATGTAGCTATGTCCTAAAACTTATGGTATGATAGGCGATAGTGCAAAGTGAAGGTTACTTGACTGTAATAAAATTAAAATACAGCCAAGTTATTGCCTATTTAACTCTTAAGTTTGGTAGAAAAAAAACAGGGTACACACAATATAGCTTTGGTAATTTGACTATGGAAGTACATTGCTTTGACCTAGGGTAATCTAGTTTACAGGATTCCCCTCCACACAAGTGATCACAGTGTGTCAGAGTGGGTAAAGTAAGTAACAACAGCGGTGAACACTGTGTGCTGTGTTATTTGTTTACTTAATTTAAGGTGGCATTAATCCCAATAATATAGATGGACGTTGCGTACATTTGAGTGAAAGACGATGGCACTGATGGTACACAAATTGTACACTGGATTGTGGAGTGGAGTTAGTAATAGTCTAAAAGTATAATTTTGACAGGACACCCTAAAGTAAATCCTTGATTTGAAATGAAATCAGCTGATTAGTTGGATGGGGGCGGGTTCAAATACGAGTGGAAGCCATCTTGAACGCTTGGTTGACAAGACTCTTTGGTAGTCAGCTAAAAAATTGAGTACACCTTACAAACACCGCATAGGGAACCGGTTATTTCAGTTATCCAAGGTAAATGCATGCACATCTTAACTATTTCTTCTTCTGGATAGTTCTTTACCAGATATCCCAGTGTTTTGTGGGGACTTTTACGATATGAGTTAACTGTAAATGGTATTTCGCCATCGATAGCCAGTTTGTTAGCTTGCTAGCACACCTAGCACGGCAGTTGAGTCGGCTGAACTGGCTGATATTAGCAATGTGATTGTGGAGATCCTGTTTTGTTTGTTAGCTAAAATTGAAAACGGTGTCAAGTATCATTTGCACTAGCGCTGTAACATACGGACTGGTTTACAAGTATCCTGACTCAATTATGTCAACGTTGCTTACCGAGCAGCACAACATTAGCATGAAGCTAAATCTTCATGTGCTAGTTAGCCGGATGTCGACTAGCTGAAGGGTAACATTAACGTTAGCTTGTTTTCCTTCTAGTTGGTTGGCTTTAACAGAATAGGCTTCTTGTTCGTCATGTGGTTAGATATTTATCCGCTAGACTTGTAATTTGGCAAAGTTGAAGTAACTGGACTGATTGTGTATTTCGGTGATTGACTTTCCGTAAATCAACGCCGTTTCCACATTGTTAGCAAGGGTTTACTAAATAACATCACGGGCCATCGCTGTGTCGGCTAACTTTTGACGTTAGGCCAGCGCAGTACTGTCACAGCTATTGATGAACTAAATATTAACTCGATAAGTCACCGTACACTCAAGATATAGGATATTTTCTTCTGCCACGCAGCATCATTGTTTTTTTGTGAAGTATGATGTTTCTGATAACTGTGTCTCGTATGTTTCAGGGTTGGAGAAACCTGAGAAAGGACGCAGCGGCTCAGTCAGGCTAAAGAAGCTGGCTAGCTAAACAGTCTGCTAATACCTGAAAGCTAGTCAAGACCTCCTAGTGTGTGGTTTTCCATATGACAATGGCAGATTACATCTGCTTTAAGCCCTAATTTGCTATTAAAATCTACCCTTAGAAGTCTTCTAAAGATTGAGAAGGGGAATTTTTTTTGACACTTGAGGTCCCAGAAAGAACAATATTGTTGAGACAAAATACTTGAAATACTTTTATTTGGATAATTACAAAAGTCTTAAGAGGGAAGGACAATCTTAAGTATTGAGTGGTCCCAGCAGAGTGGACTCACTCCATCTTTTAGTTTTATTGCTATTGTAACAGAAAAGATTAGCAGAGTAAATATGAGTACAGCCAGGACAGAGAATCCACTAATTTTGGGCTTGTCCAACCAGAATGGACAGCTCAGAGGCTCGGTAAAGCCTGCCGGAGCACCAGGTGGAGGTGGAGGAGGCCCTCAACAACAACAACTTAATCAGATGAAAGGCACAATCAACAATGGCAATTCCCAGCCAGCCCCCACAACTAACGCTGTCATCAAGTAAGTTATTCAGTACTAGAAATCCAAGACTTTGGATATCATGTTTTCTGCATGTTGGCACAATTATTACTGTCTGTCAGTTCTGTGTTATGCTTATTGCTTACAAGAATTTTACCCTCCACAGGCCTGGAGATGACTGGAAGAAAAGTTTGAAATTGCCCCCTAAAGACATGAGGATGAAAACTTCGGTTGGTACAAGATAGTTCTCCCTTTATTGAGCTGAGAGTCATCTAGATTGGAAGTTGAAATTACGGATATCTATTTTACTTGTGCTTTACATGGGTCTGTTTGCAATTCATGTCACTGTTAGGCAGTCATGCTAGCAAATCCTGCTAAGCTTGGCTATATATTTGTCACAAAGGAATTTATGGTACATACTGTTACCACAAAGTGTGACTGAAAGAAGTTTTACTTTTGTAAAAAAAAAAAAAAAAAAAAGACTGCCATGTAATGCATGTTCAACGTGAACTTGCAGTCACCATACATTTGGATCTCTGTACTCTGATCTTGGGTGCTTAACTATTTATGTGGTTTTCTTTTTTTAAAGCATACATTTTCTTGCCACTGTTGTCCTCACAGTCTTCTAATCACTTAAAGTCATTTAAGTTTTCCTCTTCATTGGAACTGTTGCAGTGGTCCAATAACTGTTCTTAACATGGTTTCTAGTTGACCTCTAAGAGAAACTTGCTGCATGACTGCAATTTACAGATTTAAGTAAAAAAAAAAAGTTTATATTTGTGTAACTGAAAAATCTGGTCAATTAAAGTAATGCACTGAGACATTATCACTTATTTTACAAGCCAATAATCTGTTTACATCTTGTCAACCAAATTCGAATTATTATTTTAATTTTATGATTACAGGATGTGACTGCAACTAAAGGCAACGAGTTTGAAGATTATTGCCTAAAGAGGGAGCTGCTCATGGGAATCTTTGAGATGGGCTGGGAAAAGCCCTCTCCAATTCAGGTACATTCAGACATGCAAGTCAAGATTTGATCCCTTTCAGCAGCTGGACAAGAAGGTGCTTAAGGAAGTGCATGTTTTTATAATTAAAGATTTGGGTGTGCTTGAAAAAAAAATTTGGCAGACATTACAGTACCTAGACTTTGACACTTAACCAAGCCTTACTTTGATACCTTTGCTAAATTAAATTGATAAGAAGTCACACTGTGATTGTCTATCATTAAATGACTTCAGTGTTATATAAATATAGTATACTGGGTTTTGGTATGAAAGAATTGTACTACCTGCTTCTAGTTCAGCGTTAATCATAATGATTTGGATTCCTTTAAAATCATGTATGTATCGGGTTCAGGGGTTAAACATTGGAACGGGTTAGAATTAGGTTTGATTGTAAATTAGACTCTGATGAAACAAATAAAAAGGTGACTCAAAGTTAAACTATTTTTAGCCATGATGGTGGCATGACAGTGTCAGTCAGTTGGGTTGCCACGTTGGTCCGGACTGAAATCTCAAAAACTAAACGATTGAGTGCCATTAAGGTTTTTTTTAACATGCATAGTTCCCAGACTATGTATTCTAATGAATTCGATGGTTCCCTTAGTTCTCATCATCTGACCCATTCAGATAGACCCCCTAAGCTTGTTTAACCTGGTCTAAATGAGGTATTAGTGGGCCAATGACACAGGACTTTAAAAATGACTGTTTTACTTTTCATCAGTCCAGTACGTGTTATTTTATGTGACCAAACCTTTGAATTAAATGTTTGAATGTAGTTTGTTCAAGTAGACGTAATGTGGTATGAGCCAAAAATGCAATGACTGTACCCAGCCCCCCAAAAACAGTACTGTGTATGAATCTATTATTACTGCTTGTGGCACAGGAGGAAAGCATTCCCATTGCACTGTCAGGAAGGGATATCTTGGCCAGAGCCAAGAATGGCACGGGAAAGAGTGGAGCCTACCTCATTCCCTTACTTGAACGCATTGACCTGAAGAGGGACTGCATACAAGGTGAGTAAGCTCATTTTCTGCCATAGCAAATGCTGGGAAGTTGAAACTGGACTCTCACCCCAAACTTAATCAAAGTCATCCTTAATTTTCAAGGCAAAATTCCTAGATTTCAACTTTTGAAATGTCAATATATTCATAATACTATTCTTATCTTTGTGTATATTGAATATCTCAAGATCGGTTGATAATTAAATGTTAGTTGCAGACCTATTTTTCTATATATTCTCTACATGTATATTCAAATGGAGTAATTAAAAAATGAATCGACCATCTACAGTGTGTAAAACTACTTTCTTTTGGAACTGTGTGTAATACCTAAATAAAAACACTAATCAAGGTATCTTTGTTACAGTGCATTTGAAGCTTCCGTGCAGTTTCTATCTGTAGTTGTTGTGATTTCATTGTTTTAATGGTTTGGGAAAGCTGTGTTCATGTCTCCAAATTAAGACTAAGCTGGTTTAATAATGTTGAGTACTCTATCACAAGATTGTTTCTCTTTTTTTCAGCTGTTGTCATAGTGCCCACCAGAGAACTGGCTCTGCAAGTAAGCCAAATATGTATCCAGGTCAGCAAACACATGGGTGGAGTGAAGGTAATGGCAACCACAGGTGGCACCAACCTACGTGATGACATCATGAGACTTGACGAAACGGGTAAACTTTTTGTCTTCATTGGAAGAACTGTGTTCATATCTCTCTGGAATGACTAAAATAATCATGCTGGTACCTTAGCTGTCAGTCTAAATCATCCTCTTTGACAAATGCCAATGAATGTGTAAATAATATTTCAGTGCACGCAAATGAAAATCCCTATTTGATCTGTTCATAGAAACATGAAAACATCAAATGAAGGCATTATCATTTAAAGTGGAATTCTAATTTATACTGCACTTTGCAGAGGAGTAATCTTAAACACAACATATATATATATATATATATATATATATATATATGTGTCCAGATGATAGATGTCAGTCTGGCTCATGTGTTATGTTTGGAGTCTGGAAAGTCCATCTGATCTTGTCAGTGTTTAACACAGATAATGAAGGGGCTCTGTCCGGTTTGTTTGAATATTGGCAATCTGAATGTCTCAAAAAGCAATCTATTTAACTTACTGGCCACATCACAAAACCACAGTGTGAGGTGGTTGTTTTTTTCTTTTTGTTTAAGGTCTTCATTATTGACTGCACTATTTGTTGTCACTACGGAGTATCAGGAAAGAATTGAAATATGTCGTAATAGCTAACATATGCCATCAGCTTGGTTTGTTTTTTTCTAATACCTGTGGTGGTTGTACAGCTGTATTATTGGCAAGCAGGGGTTGATAATGATTGAAGTATGGCAGCCAGTCAAAACATCTGCACTGTGGCTGAGTGAATATTGCCAAATAAATGGAGATTTTCAGTGAAGTACAGCTTTCTATACTGTGCAGTCACCATTTGCTGAATATTACCAGTACAACAGAGACGTGATCCTTTACATTCATAGTGCTACACTCAAATCTATACATTTTTAAATCCTCTGCCAAGTGATAAAACTGCATTACTTGATGCAATTCTTGTTTTATGTGTTTATGTATAAATTAATTTACCGATATTTATTGTTGTTGTTGTTGTTGTTGTTGTTATTATTATTATTATTATTATTATTATTATTATTATTATTATTATTATTATTATTATTGTTATTATTATTATTATTATTATTATATTTTTATTTTTTTATAGTACATGTAATTATTGCCACTCCTGGGAGAATTTTAGACCTCATCAAGAAAGGAGTGGCCAAAGTCAATCAAGTGCAGATGATCGTTCTGGATGAAGTGAGTTAAATAGTTCATTTTTTTATTCTGTATAACCCATTATACCATTATATAACCCATACTTGTTTTATAAATAAACCAGTGAGTTTAAAATTTAAGTAGTCGCTTCAGACAGCTCTCAATGTGTTTTTCCCCGATCTCCCTTTGTTCAACAGGCTGACAAACTCCTGTCTCAGGACTTTGTGGTTATGATGGAGGAAATGCTGGGCTTCCTGCCCAAACAGAGGCAGATTCTGCTTTATTCTGCAACCTTCCCTCTTAGCGTGCAGAAGTTTATGGTGCATATTTCTCATTTGTTATTTAAGTACTTGTTTCATCATTTCTTATTGCTGATAAACAAAATCAGCCTTCATAGTCTTTAGCACAACTTGAACATAACTCCTGTTATCACCTGCTTTATAGAATGCACACTTGCAGAAACCCTATGAGATCAACCTGATGGAGGAGCTTACACTGAAGGGTGTGACTCAGTATTACGCTTATGTAACTGAAAGGCAAAAAGTTCATTGCCTTAACACCTTATTCTCCAGGGTAAGTGTTGCCTTTATGCAATCCATGATCCTGAATTAATTTAAGCTATGTCGTCAAAACAGCTGTAAAAGACTTTTATTCGAATGCCTGTCATAAACAAAGGGTATTTTCATGAGTTCATTTCTGTACTTTTGTTTTGCATTGGACACTGGAAATGTTTATTATTAGATAATGGCTGGAAACCTCACAATTCAAACAAATCGATTTCACCAGGATTTACTGCTGTTGCTGTTCTGTTGTTTCAGCTCCAGATCAACCAGTCTATTATCTTCTGCAACTCCTCTCAGAGAGTGGAGCTCCTTGCCAAGAAGATCTCCCAGCTTGGTTATTCATGTTTCTACATTCATGCCAAGATGAGACAGGTCAGCTCAAAGTAGTGCCTCAGAAATACCAGCTCTACCAGCTTTAAGACCAAAATACACACAGGTGGCAATGGATGCATGTCAGAACAGCTGCTGCTATTACATTTGGTGTGCATTCAAGTGGTGCATCATGTAGACATGCATGTACCTCTGCTTGATGTGCTGCTACAGTTCACACCAATGCTCTGTTTCTGGAGTGTTGCTACCACTACCATTATCCTTTCCCCAGTGAGAAACTGTCCTGTTGACACTTGGCTAACTGGACTGCATGTAATATGAACAGCAGCTTTTGAACTGTACCTTATTTGTCATCAACAGTATTGGCATTTGAGCCTTGTTTTGCAGCTTAGCTTGTACTTTACAATGTATAAAATTTTACATTCCATAATAATAGGCTACATGTACATAACGTGGTGCTTTTTCACAGCAAAACAAAAAAAAATGTTGTACTGCAGAGTCCATCATTTATGAGGTTTTCATGTTATAACATTTTTTCTCTCCAGGAGCATCGCAACCGTGTGTTCCATGACTTCAGAAATGGCCTCTGCCGGAATCTCGTCTGCACTGGTAAGTGCCATGTGGATGTACCTGTGCTGTATTTTACGTAAGATTGTGATTATATATTTTGAGCTTGTCCAACCAGAATGGACAGCTCTTTGGTTGGAATGGGTAGCTATTGTGAGACTGGCTAGACGACATCACCACCAGGCGGTCTGGGCCCACTTTGACCATTATTTTCCACATAGAGAGTGGTGATGCACACTGCTCAGATTTTGAAACTTCACCACTGAGCTTATAGTTGAAATGATATTATTATCAACCCTGCTTGCCACTGACTTTTCAAAGCGTGTCCAATCAGATTACAGCTGACCTAGATTCCTGACTGAGTGACTGAGTCACCAGAGATGTAATTTTTGTCTAGTTTGAAAGGTAAGTGCTTGAAGTGCAGGAATTTCAGTTCTTGTCTAAAAGTTCTGTGATGACGTATCAGCATGAGCTGAGCTAATGGCACTAACGCAGCAGTGAGTCCAGCTCATATCATGTGAGTCAGTCATTATTTATTTGAACTTGAGAGCCTTTAGAAAGACAGAGCATTGTTGCATCACTCAGCTTAGTGGGTAAATCTATTTAATTGACAGACATTTGGCTGCTCCTGCTTGCAAAAAATATATTTTTAAAGGTTTTGCACAGAGAAAAAATGACCAGAACACAAAGTACATATAGATGGGATGGCAATGCACTTCAAGCTGCATCGAGATCTCAACAAGATCTGGTTGCCACAAATTAGGGATGCACCGAATATTCAGTAACCGAATATATTTGGCTGAATATTGCAAAAAAACACACATTCGGTATTCGGTGGAATAAGTTAAAAGCAAGGCCGAATAATAGTGGCGCCGTTTTGATAACGCAATCAAACAGCGTGCCTTGATGCGCGGATTAAAATGTCGGCAGTGTGGTGACCCCCCCGTCACCGCACTTGCATTTGCAACTAAAAATAGTTTTGAGCGAGCAAAATAGGCTTAAATCATTCAGCACGCTGTGTGAGCAGCCTACGGATTTCAACCAGCAGCAGAAACGAAAGGCGAATCCCACCGACTGTGGGTTGAATGGGGGTCACAGACACAGACAGTAATGTATTCCTGTCAAATACGGCGGCCATTGGCTTACCGGTGAGGAGAAGTCGGCTCCAATAATATCCTCTTCTTGGTGTGTAGACTGCCCAGAAGTACCTGAACAGCTGAGCCAGCCGAACACAGGTATGTGATGTGTCAGAGGAGAAACGAGCCGTTAACGGTCCACAAACCTCACCGCACTTTAGGGACTGTTCTTTACTTATGAAGGGACTTATCAGGGGAGGAGGGTGGCTGGTTGATTCTTATTTTATTTATTTATTTATTTTAATTTTATTTTATTTTGATCCTCCCTATGTTAATCACTGATTGATGCTGTTTTTGAAGTATGAATAAGTCAATAAGTAATTTATTCCATTGAAATATCATTGATGTATTATAGAAAAGTGATTTATCTTTTCATAAATGACAAAAGGCACTTCTGTCTCAATTTCGGTGTGGTATCGTGATACTACTCAGAACCATGATATTTTCATTGGTATCGTATAGTGGGTCCCAATTTTGGTACCGCGACAACACTAATCTGGAGGGGGTTCATCTGCAAAACCTAATGAAAAACTAAACAATGATATTTGGTGCTCGGTATTCGGCCAAGCGTTTAATATTATTCGGCTTCGGCCACAAATTTTCATTTCGGTGCGTCCCTACCACAAATCCTTTAACTGGAATCACCCACCTGATCATGGAACAGTGGAAACATTTTGATAGGTTTAGCTAGCCAGTCTGTGCACACGGATTAAAGCCAAATGGGGTGCCACAGTTCGACCATAGTAAGCTCATGTTGCCTGTGGGAACACATCAAACAGCTTTGTTCAGAGTGTGCTTTTGGCCTTGGTTTTGGTAATGGAAAGGTTTTGCTACAATGATAGGGCTGTGTGAGCCAAAACAAAGTGAAACGAAAGTGAGACTGATCCTCTACGGAAGTGGGATGACACATGCACACAAAAACTTTCGTGGTGCCTTGTTTGGTAGACTGAACTTGTTCCACGGATGTGTCAATGTTTTTGTTTTCCAAACAGAACTCTGTATTGTTTCCATTTTATATTCAGTTTGTAGTGACTCATATGGGTTGAAATTAACTACTGCTTGTCTTTTTAAAAATTATTCTACAGACACTGTAAGGTCTGGTGTGTAGGATTTAGAGGGATATATTTGCAGAAATGGAATATAATGAGTTTGTTTGTTATCAGTGTATAATCATTTTTAAAATAAGTATTGTTGTGTTTTTGATACATAGGGAGCAGGTCCTCCTTTATGGAGATTTCCACGTTGCACCACCATGTCTCTACAGCAGCCCAGAATGAACTAACCAAACACTGGCGCCTAATAGGGCCATATGTGTTTTCGTGCCAACCGCCATAGTTAACAGGCCCTCCAAGACCAGCAGCGTTGGAAAAAGTTATTTTTTAAAACATGAAACAGAGGGGAAGAGGTCTATGAGGATATTTCAGCTCTCATAGAAAATATCCTAAATGTATGGATCAGAAAAAAGATGAGCACACATTTATTTACTAGAGAAAAATGGTGAGCACACATTAGTAGGTGCTGGGCTAGCGGTCCGTCTTCGACGAGCTGAACAGCATCTGGTCCATTTATTTTAGAGAGGAAGAGATTGCAGATATTTCGGCTCCCGGTAAAAACCTCCTGAACACTTAACACATAAGGAATTCTAAATAGGAGAAGTTAAATCTGGTTGCAATCTGTGATCTTCACCACTAGATGCCACAGAATCCCCCTAAATCTTACACATAGCTCTTGATATTTTGCTCCAGATGTATACGTTTGTGTTGATGTAGGTTTGGTTTCTTGCTTTTTTTTTTCTCTCTAGACCTCTTCACAAGAGGAATTGACATTCAAGCTGTGAATGTTGTGATCAATTTCGACTTTCCCAAGCTGGGAGAAACGTACCTTCATCGCATTGGTAGATCTGGTAAGAGAACATGTTGTGTTTTTTTTTTTTTTGTTTTGTTTTGTTTTTTTTGTGCAGGATCTTATCTGGTACAAAGATTTATTGTAGGTGGCAAACAATAGAGGTAGGGATAAAAAAAATAATTAAAACCCTCACATCTTTAATATCCAGGCCGCTTCGGACACTTGGGTCTCGCCATCAACCTCATCACATACGATGATCGCTTCAACCTGAAAGGGATTGAGGAGCAGCTTGGAACAGAGATCAAGCCCATCCCTGGCATCATTGACAAGAGCCTATATGTGGCAGAGTACCACAGTGAGAGTGGCGAAGAAGTCAAGCCATGAGCCAGTGAGTACATAGACATTGACGGCTAATATGTATACATATATTAATTCTTTCAGGATAGTCCCAGGATGATTAAACTACTTTTCTGTTTTCTCATTTTCTGTCTTTTTTTATGCCAGTGCAACCATTTTAACACACAAATGCATGGATAAAAGACATTTTATAATTAGACAGATTAATGGCAGACATTACATTGTGCTTTGCCAGTGCTGTGCTATGTTGGGCATGCTGGGTTACTGGTATAACTCACTGGTACAACCAAAGGTATTTAGTCATTATAACTGTCATCACCTTGATGGCGCGTTTCCTGCCGTGCCAAGTATAAATGTTCCCGATGAGAAAAGTCTTTTACCTTTTTAAACATGACAAAAGATGAAGCAAAATGAGCAATACCTCCAGTCACTCTAAAACTGTCCTTTTAATGCAGTTGTCACTGTGCTGTGACAAAGTTGCAGTTTTTAACTTGAAAGATTGTGTTAAAATCCCATGTAACAAGGTGTCTGACCTGAAGTGTCCTTGATTCAGACACTCAATGGCTACCAGGTGCAGAGGGGATATTCTTTGTCCTTTTCAAGAGTTTTCTTTTGTAAAAGTCGAAAGAAAATCTGGGATGTCATCAAGTTTTTTTGGCCCTGATCTGAGTCATTTAATATTGGGTGTCAGCTGATACCAGGACTGATCTGCTACTTGGTTAAATTATGTATGTGACACATTGAAAAAAAGTGTAGCCCACAGAATTTGTCGCACCTTATTTTTCAAGGTCTTTTAGATCCAAATACTGAACTCAAAACTTATTTATTGTGTAAGCTTAATTTATTAAGATATGAATGAGAGTTAAACTCGAATGTGGCTGCTCGAGTTGTGGAAACTAAATGGGGTATAATTAGACTGATTGTGTGCTACAAGTAATCTGTGAGGGAACACACGATCCCTAGCAATTGAATGCAGTTAGAGGGTACTAATGTAAAAAAAAAAAAAATACCAGGCTTTGTTCAAGTAACTAACTTAAGGTCACTCTTCTCTCGACAGATCAGTCCATCCTCCATTCCCCTTTGTATCTTTTTTTCATCCCCCACCCGTCTTGGAGTTCTTTTCTTTTTTTTTTTTTTTTTTATTGTACAGTGTCTGTCTGTCTTCCTTTTTTGGATGCCACCGTAAGGAATGTGTATTTTGATGGACGCGTTTCGGAAGAACTCATTTGCCTTTTAATAGGGCTCTGTGCTGCACCACCACACCCTGAAGACATAAGCACCAGGAGGAAAGCACGGGACCAAGTCGAAAATGTATCAATGCACATTGTGAAGATTCATATCCACCAATGACACAAAGCCAGCACCAACAGACCGCTAAATGACACCTTCCATTCTCCACGTGTTATTTTAGAAGTTTTAACCAATTTGTATCAAGTGCCTTAACAAGCAGTTCAACTCGTTCTAAAGTAATAACCCTCCATCATCCATCATCTTGCTCACTTCATACCACACACTCATGTTCACCTAATTGAAAATTTGTTACACTAATTTAATGTCCAACCACATAGGTGAATTCATTTTTGGTTGGCTCATCCGTTTGCAAGGAAAGGAGATAATAAGGACGGAGGCTGGTCTGAAATATCTTTTGCTGGCTTGGCTGCACTTGAGTCTGGCTGATAAATGAGGACAAGCTTGGATGTTCCATGGACAGAGATGCTGGATTTTTTTCCAAGAGACAGCCAGACTGTCCAGTTGCTTGTGAAGGAGCTTGTGCTTCAAAAAGACCCAGACCCTTTCCTCTGTCTTCAGCATCAGAACACTAAAAATGAATAAGCAGCCTCTCAAAACCATGAGTCATGAGGATTCCTGTTTTGGTGGAGTTTAATTGTAGGGAACGCTTTTTGTTTTTCCTTCTTTTTTTTTTTGTCCTGTGTTTCACCTTCCAATGGATGGCCATACTTCAGTCTACGAGATGTGCAGCCGACATGTGTGGTGCATCTTACACCTTATGTATATAACTTCATTTTAAGATTGTTTTAAACAAGTTCAAAAGGCTGGCCGACAAACTGAAAAGCTTTTTCCTCCCTTCTCTCTTGTTAGCACTGGAGACTGTGTCCTTAACTGCCAGTTTGTTTGTTCTGCAATATTGGCCTGTGAATTTATTTATAATTTTAGAAATTGCAGAATTTATTAGAACCCAAAACATTTAAATCCCTTTGTGCATGATATGTTTTTGGAGGCAGAGTTCATCACTGATTATCTTTTAACCCCTCCAAATTTGATGGCAAATGCAATTTTTCAAAGCTGCACTTAAACTGAGATTGTTTAAATTGTTGCCCTTATTCTCCTGCTACCAGTGTTAACAAGTGTTCAGTCTAGACAGATGGCTTTGTTAAGCTTGTGCATTTGAGTAATGAATTCTTTGTTGTCACCAGCCTTAACTTGTGAAACTGACTCTTGAGGCACACTGTAAGATCTCCAGTTATAGAGTGTGTTGTTATTGGAAGAGAAAATAATCATAGTAGTACTACTTGCTGCAGTGCAGCTGAATTGGCAGAGAATTTGTGTTATGGGGAAAGTTTAGCTGTTACGTTGATCTGTGTGCTCTTTAAGCCCAGCTGCATTGCTTCACAAATCTTGAGGAGGAAGCTGTGGATTTATTTTCCCCTTTTTCAAAGAATGCTGGCCAAATGCGTCAAAATGATCTGTCTGACCTAACATGTAGCAGGAATTCATTCTCTGTGCATTGCAAGTTAGCTGGCTTTACTAAAAACCAGCTAACAAAAGATGCCTCACTAAAAACAACCTGAGCAGGTTGGGCTGCACTTAAAGCACAGAGAGATGGGTTCAGGCAATAACAGTGACTGCACTGCTTTTTGTACACCCATGATGCCCACATGGAAGGGGAGTGTGATGCAGAACATTGAAAAAATAATAAAAAATTGGCACGGAGGGGGGAATGGGCATGAAGGATAACATTACTATTAGTCGGACTGCTTGTTTAAGAAAATAACTTGGGCACCTCAGAATGCTGAGTTATGGCTTTTGTCTCTGCCCTTTATTGCTTTGATATTTTGGGTTTTGGTAACGTTTTTTGCATTTTTATGCAACACAGCCTTATTTTTGCATTAAGGTCATCTGTTCAGCTGAAACCTTTCTGCAAATGAGGTTCCCTTTTGTTATGGTGAGATGCTCTCTTAACTGTTCTAATCAATGAGAAGTATTATCCCACATTTAATTTAAGCTCCTTTTAAAAATATACCTGTTGCAATGTTGATTAGTTTAAAATGACCATTTTATTTCTCATTGGTTAGGACTGTGATCCCTGTTCACTCAGCTCTATTGTTGTCCCCTGAATACTTGCACATGTAATTTGGCTGTTTTGGCTTATGGTTTGGGTGGGAGGGCTGTATTTGTTAAAAATATTCAAATTAAGCATTGGTTGAATGAATGGGGATCTAATTGTTCAGGCACTTGGCAGCTGCCTGTCTCTTGTCAGTCCACTGGCAGTAATCACCACAGCAAATGCTTTCATGTCTAAAATTGACGATCCCTCAAATTTTAGTGTATTGCTACCTTTTGATGGAATGCTGCTTTACTGCCAGTGGCTGCCATTTTGAGAACCTTAAAGACTGAGACAAGAGCATCTTGCCCCAGATTGGGTGACTAAATTGGATAGTATGTGTAACTAAATTGTCTCATTCTTTAAGGCCTTTTTTTTTTTTCTTCTTCTTTTTTTTTTTTTTAAACTTGTGGGGAGGTTTAAATTAGCGCTTTCGCTGCCCAGATGCACATGTTAATCTTCTCTTGATAGTTCCAGCACATTTAAGGTAACACAGCTTTTGTGTACAATTTGGCCGTCTTATCACTTATCTATCAAGGAGGATGAGAAAAGGAGTCCATTAGGGATTTCTTTCAAAACTGATGCATCTGTAAAATGAAACAGAGAGAAGCTTTTGGGCTTTACAGAAACAGGATAAGATCTAAAGATCCAAAGTTATGGTAATGGGTATAAAAACGTTTCAAAATGATGCCCTTAGATTTGGATTTTTTTTTTCTTTTTTCCCCCCCCCCCCAAATGGAATGTTCAAGTGGAGTAAACCTTATTTATAAAGTCCAAATTTAAGTGAAGAATTTAAAGCCTAGGTTCATTTTTTTTTTTTTTTTTTTGATGGAAAATTGGTTGTTATTTAATTGGCTCATTTTTTCAGTGAAGCTAATTTTACAATGGACTTAAGTTAAAAAAGATATCCTGAATATTACTGGATACAATTGAAAGTTTTGTTGAGAATAAAGCTCACTGAAATTTATTGTGTCTGAAGTTTTTGTTTTCATTGGCAGCCACTGCAGAGTGCTGTTAAACCGCTCTTTTAAAGCTAGGTGTCAGTATGTTGCTGCTCTTTGGTTCAGACGTAATGTCTTAATATAACCAGACCACAGGCTTACTTGTTCCCTGGTGTCACTTAGTTCATTGCTTAAGATGCATGTGTTGGTTGTGTTATGCATTTCGTCAGTGGTTCTTTTTGCCTGTGTAAATGGCGCTGTTCCACCGTCATGTGACAGGTAAGATAAATGACTGTTTTTCTTTAAAAGGTATTTGTATAGGAGACTGTATGAATCAGTCTCCTGTTACTTCACTTCTCTTAATTATAAAAGGAAAAACTGATTAATGTATAGCTGTAATACTGATAAGTTAATCCATAATTTGTCTGAACACCATGGACAACCCTAAATCTTTAAACTTTGCCCTTTGGTTTGAATTTGCTTCCAAAAACTATTGATCTGTTCAGTTTTAAACTACTGCAATGCTTACAATCAAAAATACTGGAATGCCTCCATTTTGTCAAATGACCCATCTTTTTCCATCACATTTCCTGCATACTGTGTGCTTGACTTCCTTAAAAAGAATTTGCACTGTAATGGCAAACATGTCGATAATTATCTTGGCATTCGAGAGCTATTTATTCATCTGGAGCATTATGTTTGTAGGATAACATCAGCCTTCTGCTGCGGCTGAACTCCTAGAAGTGGTGTTGTTTTTTTCATGTCTATCTCCTTAAGCACATATTAAGTTGTTAGCAGACCTTTGCCCTCACCTGCTTATTATTATTGATATGGTTTTATTACTTACTTGCAGGACTCTGTAACAAGAGGTCAGTATATTGTAGTAATACACATAATGTCTTTCCTGTCTAATGATTCACAACTCCTAACAATTTCAGTGAAATATACTGCACTGGGCCCATCTTGCATCAGGTACAGGAAGCTAAACTGTTTGACGATGACAAGTACTTTGTTGACATGAAACTGAGGGAAACTCCTGGTGAGTCATAAATCAGTAAATTAGCTTTTTTTTTTGGTTTCTTTTGTCGACTATGTGACTGCTTTTGTTGCTCACTGTGTCTTTTCCTGTAGATGTTGTTTTGTCTGCGTTTCACAATCTTTCAAATGACTCACCAAACACCACTGTACCGCCTGCCAAACTGCAGGAGTTCCTCAGTACTTACTTTGAGAAACCAGGGACTGAGTTTGAGCCATGGACACCACCAGACTGGCATGAAAAGTGAGAACCAGTTATTAGAGGACTCTTGCTCAGATGGTACTGTATTTTTTAAGTGTGCTTTGCTGGAATGAGTTGATTTTTATATGCAGGCCAAAGTTCCTGGGAGGAATAGCAGACCAAGAACTACGCAGCTGGGCTGAAAAGATACACGATCTGTGGAAGCTTCTGGGCAGAAAGGTGATGAGCTTAAATGATTGGTTGCTTAGTAAATCTGCCTAATTTTGCTTTATTTCAACTATTCAGTAACTGAGGAAATATTGAGGTAATTTAAAGTAAAAATGCCAAAACTATATACAGTATATATGTATATATCTTCAGATTTTGTTCTGTCTGTTGAACAATACAAGCTATTTCAATATGTCAGATTGACCTTTAGGCAAATGTTATTCACTATTTTGATTATTTGTGGACCAAATGACACATTGAAAAATTATTCAGGTTCATAAATAATGAAAGTAATTGTTAGCTGCAGACCTGATGAGGTTAAAGGATCCACGTACATGTGAGTCCAAAGCTTTTAAAATGAAAAATAATCTCTCCTTCAGATCCACACTGGTGTTAAAGATCACCCAAACTCGCAGATATACACCCCACATCCTGTTGTTGTGCCAGGAGGGCGCTTTAGGGAACTCTACTACTGGTGAGTGAACAATGAGGCCTGTCTCTCAGCTGTCTGTCTGAGAGCAAAGTGTCACCAGGTCAGAGTGAGGAGAGATCACAGCCAGGCTCAGTCAGGGGTCTCTGCTCAGAGCCCACCTGGGTGCCATATGCCGACAGTGATGTGAGCTGTTCTGTGCCTAACAGGGACTCCTACTGGGTCATCAATGGGCTCCTGCTGTCAGAAATGACAGCCACAGCCCGTGGGATGATTCAAAACTTCCTCTACCTTGTCAACAGGTAAGCTTTAAAGTACATTTCATCTTTCATAGCACTTACAAAGTCCAGCTCGCTGCAGGTTGTTCAGCAGGCTCATTTTGAATAATAAGTCATTTAGCAACCCAAGTTGTACACTTGGATATGGAGCTCTCGGGGGAATTCAGGATTTGTGGAATAAAAGATTTTTTTCAATCACTCTCCTACAGATATGGCTTCATTCCAAATGGTGGGCGGATTTACTATGAAAGGCGCAGTCAGCCTCCATTCCTCACTCTAATGGTGGAGAGCTACTATCAAGCAACCAAGGATAAAGAGTTCCTCAGGTGATATTTAGGTCTGAGCTGATGTCCTGCCAGACACATTATCATTCTTCAGCTGCCTCGTGTCTCTTCCAGAATAGAAAAAAGGCGTATTCAACATCAAAACCTCAGTGCTCGTGTCTGTCTGCGCCTCCAGTGTTTTGTTTCCCCTAACACGCTTAATTAGAACATGACACCCAAACTTTTGTGTGTAATGATATTAAGGACTGTGAAAAGTAGTCTGAATTAAACCATAGCTCTCTGCTGTCTGTACAAACTTTCATGGTTTAGAGCAGCTTTGCCAGCACTGGAGCAGGAGTACCAATTTTGGATGCAGAACCGCTCTGTGACTTTGAAATTAAATGGGACAGAGCATGTGCTGAACCGATATGATGTAAAGGTGGGCTTGCCCAGGTAGGCTACATTTGAAAGAAATCTATTGAATTATAAAAACAAATTTAAGATGGGGGTATTGTTGATTGTGCTACACTCACCATGTCTTTTGTTCTCTTTAGGCCTGAATCCTACACAGATGATCTGGAACTAGCGGAAGGACTCACCAATGGTAACGGATTAATAGTGTTTATACTGTATTGTTGGTGGTTGAATGAATCCCCCTTCATGAGCCCTGCTATGGTCATTTTATTCCATGAGAGAGAAAAAAAAAGGCTGATGCTGTGGGATGGATGTACTGTAGTTTATCAGTGCTCCTCAACAGGAAAGGGGAAATATTCCCCTCGATTTAAAGATCATTACCATGTTTTGATGTATATTTAATATGTTAAGCACATCCATTTTTGCGTATTGTGGCTTACAAGCTGAGCATTAATTTCAAGAAAAGCTGTTTTAGGGAAAAACACTGTTGTTGTTTGCTAAAATGTTGAATTTTTCTGCCAGCAAAGTGTGTTTGCTCAGATTTCTGAAGATTTTATGCAAGAATATATTTATATTTATTAACAAATAGTCAAGGTCAAAGTCAAGTTATTTCTCCTCTTTGGGGGAGACGTTTAATTTTTTTGTCTCTAAAGCTTTTGAGAATTGTTGCAAAACTGAAACAACAATGTTATTCAGAGGCTGCATATTTTACTTTTTCCACATCCAGTTGACAAATGACACATACATGAATAAATAACAAAGTTTAGATGCTGATTTGTTATGGCTCTACTAGTGAATTCATGTTGTTTTTTTTCTCGCCCCCAGACCGTAAGGAGAAGCTGTGGATGGATCTAAAAGCGGGTGCAGAGTCTGGCTGGGACTTCTTATCCTGCTGGTCTATAAATGGTGACGGCCACAACAACGGCACCCTGGGGGATACCAGCACCAGTCAGATCCTGCCTACTGACCTCAATGCTCTTCTGTGCCTCAATGAGAAGACTCTTGCTTCCTTTCACAGGATACTGGGTGACTACATGAGCAGCCTTTGACCTTGGAACTAACTTTGGTCTTCACACTGCTTTTAGCTCCTAACTGGTGTTACATAACGGTGATGTGCTGTTTCCTGACAGGTGATGGTGACTCAGCTGCACTGTATGACCAGGCTACAGCCCGCAGGCTGGAGGCGATAGAGTCTGCGCTGTGGGATGCTGAGAGGGGTGCCTGGTTTGACTACAACCTAGTGACGCACACCAAACACTCTGAGTTTTACCTCTCCAACCTGGCACCTGTTTGGGCACAGTGCTATTCTCAGCCTGAGATGGGAGAGAAGGCAGTACAGTATCTGAAGGTCGGTGGACAATCTTGCCTTTATTGTGGTTTCAATTCATAAAGGTGGAAGAAGGGATAACTTTTAATCCAAATCACAAAAGATGCATATTTTCCCCATTCACCTTTAATAGAATCCAGCTATGCAGATACTGCATGTTGTTTTTTCTTGAGTAGGTTTTGAGGTGTGTATAATTTTAGTGAATCCAACAAAGATTTTTTTATTTTTTTTTTTTAACAGCAGCTTTTTTTACAGGATGAGTTTCCCTGTAATCCACAGTGCACACTGTCAACAGTGTCATCAGGGACTGTTTTTTAGTTGTTGTTTTTTTTAAGGTTTTAGTAACAGATTGGCAGTGGGTAGTACTTCCAATAAAAAAGCCCAAACAGCCAAATCACTGATTCAGTTACCCTTTACCTCTATTGTATTGAAGGAGCATCCAAAACCTGGACAAATAAAGCTTTGAATGCAGTCATGCCAATAAAGCAGCTTGAACTGAACTGAAGTGAACTAAAGCCAAAACTGTGTGGCTAGAAACCATTAGGGTTAAATGAGAAAATGCCCTCAGTGACCACTTTAATAATGTGATAAGATATGTATAATCCATTGCAATTAAATACAACAGCTCTGCCACAATTTCTGCCTTTACGAAGTATATAATGTTTCTGTATTTGTTTTAAGTTATGCTTAAAGGTCCAGTGTGTAGGATTTAGTGGCATCTAGTAGTGAGTCTGCAGTACTGAACCTTCTCCCATGAGCCGAGCCTGTGAGAACTACAGTGGCTGACGCAAAACAGCGAATGGCTCTATCTAGAGCCAGTGTTTGGTTTGTTGATTCTGGGCTACTGTAGAACAACATGGTGGACTCCGTGGAAGAGGATCGCTCTGTATGTAGATATAAATGCCTCATCCTAAGGTGAAAAAAAAGATTATATCTATGGAAAAATAGTTATGAACATTACAAAAATTCATTCATTTCTGCCAATAGATGCCCCTAAATCTTACACACTCGACCTTTGATACTGAGGCCACAGATACGGTAGGTGCTGTACTGGACTACATTATATTGTAAGGTGTTTTCGTCCTCCTTATTTACATACATAGGGGGGGAAGAATATTAGAAACAATTCTGAATATGGCAGATCTGTTATGTACCTAATAAAGTGACAACTTAAAATGTGTATTCGTGCCATTTGTGTGAAAGAACCCTTTAACCTGTATTTCTCCTGGTTGGTATGACTTGTCTCCTCTTCTGTTGACCACTGCAGCTCCACTCTGTGAGTTACAATAGATCTAATTAGCTGCTCAGCTGCAGCACATTAAACACGTAAACATACCTGCAAATGTCACTTCTGTCTGGTTAGATGCTGGTATGGTCCTTACTCTTAAATACCAGTAACATCACGTTGTTTGACCATGACATGTTGACATTTTTTATTACAAAAAGGGTTAACTGAATGTGATTTTAAGCAGACTTTGAATGTTTTGCCTAAGTGCCTCTTGACAGTTGTTGAGGACGAAGAGATTGTTGCTCATTTATTTCCCCACCACCATTTCCAACCAATTAATCCTCCCTCTACTCAGAAGCCCACCTATATGTCACAAGCTTTATGAACTGTGCTCATTTGCTCCAGCAGATGGAGCACACACACTGCACTACTTTAATCCATGCATGCTTCTAAGGTTACTGGTTTTCCTGTGTGTGCAGGGGAGTGGTGCTCTCCAATTTCCCAATGGAGTTCCAACATCGCTGAGAGAGTCTGGGCAGCAGTGGGACTATGCTAACGCATGGCCTCCTTTACAACACATGCTCATTGATGGTAGGTGGTAATAAATTGATCTACCATCACGATAATTCCTTGAGACACATACTGATGATGCACCAACTGTTCAACATGTTGCTCTGTTGATTTTGCATAATAATTTGTGAGAATGCATAGTGCCTGTAGTGTGGTGCTTTATTTTTTTGCTCTTGCTTTGTATTCCAGGACATGGATTTAAAATGAAACAAAGCAGGTTAAACAACTGATCTTCAGGTTTATTTGAGGGTGTTTACATCTGTTGATTGTTACTCACCAAGGCGTTGTGTGCATCTGTGTGCATCTGTGTGCAAATGTGTGTCCTTGTGCATGCGCACAGTACAAACTAAATGGAGACCCACTTGTAAAAAAAAAAAATCTCCAAAGTGCAACCAGTCGTCCAAAACTCCACAGGATAGCTTTAGGTTACATAGAGTCATTATATTTTATATTCTGCTTGAAATCCAACCACCCATAGAGATCTGCAGATACTTGATATCTGCTCTGATGATGCTCTGCTAGGCCCTTAATGTACCAACCTTCACTTCTTGCTTTTTTAGAAGGATTTTTGTCTTAGTTTGGTCTAAAGCAAGTGTGACTAATGATAAGAGAGTGACCCTTCAAAGTCCTTGGTTGCCTGGTCTGTATGATCACTGCCCTGCTGAATGTTTCTCTGCCTCAAGTATGTTTAAAAAAAAACTTTCTTAGGCTTGTTTAGTGATTTAAGTGTTTCCAGGTTTATTAAAACTGCCTTCAGAGGATGCTCAACAACTAGCATTTGATTTGGCCCAGCGCTGGATCAGGACAAAGTGGTTGGCATACATGAAGTATGATGCCATGTTTGAAAAGGTGAGTCTCTTTAGGTTTCAGTGTGTCAGAGCTTGTGTTGCATGGTGATAACACAGCTGGCTCAGAATGTGTAATTTTCTTCCTCCTGACAGTATGATGTGAATGGCGATGGCAAACTTGGTGGTGGAGGAGAATATGAAGTTCAGGTACTTCTTGTGTTGATGGTGTAAAGCTAATGTGCTTATAGTCTTTCTGATTTCACGCAGAGCCCTGTCAATTCTTTCTACCTCACTTTTGCTTCTTAATTTGAACACATTTGCATTTACACATATACTGTCACTCCTCCTCACTTCTTTGTCATTATCCATCTTTTTTTGTATAATTTTCTACCCTGTTGGGTCTTGTTGTCTTTTACCTTTGACTTGACTCTTATGTACTTCTATCAGCACAAATTAATCACTTGTTTTTCTCAGATCACTGTGTTTTGCTGCTTTACTAAAGTGTTACATAAAAATGAAAACATCTCTTATGCACCGCTGTGTTGCCCTTGCTGTAGCTGGGTTTTGGCTGGACCAATGGCGTGGCCCTGCAGCTCCTGAACCAGTATGGGGCGACTCTCACCTCAGGAAGCGGGCGAGTGTCTTCTGGCCTCCTGCTGCCTCTAGTCGTCTCAGCCGCTATCATGCTCCAGTGAAACAGAGGTGACGAACGAGCCTGACTGGAGGTCAGATTTTATTTTTTCTGGTTTCACTGCACTACAACACTCCAGTCCACTGGCTGACTTCAAACAAACGGATATTGACATTAAAATGAGACTAAATTGTGCATATTTTAACAAGTTCTGATTTCTTTCTAAATCGTATATGATCAGGATCACTCTTCTTTGTAGAAGGAACAGGATGTGATTTATCATAAACTAAAAATTCCTTTGATGAATATTTTAGTATGTATCCTTAGAGATAAATGATCTCTGATGATATCAGAAGATGCAGATCATGTAGGCACTTAAATGGACTCTCTCCAGTAATTCAAGCTGTTAGCGCTGGCTGCTGCTTGGATCACAACATTAACTTGTCCCAGATATTGAACTGACATTACAAACAGTTATTCACCTAATTCAATTATAAAGTTTATTGCTATGCTGTAGCTTAATTCACTCCGAGGCCTTCTATTTGCATGTATACTGAAGTTGGACTGTAAACGAGCTCATGTGAGAAATAAAATGCGACATACAATAATGAATACAATAATGATGTTTAAAACATACAGTTTTTATTACATCTGTCTACTCAAGACACCTTTATTCATTTTTTACAAATCAACCGAGGAATTCCAGGTTGCAATGCTGGTATGATAATCACATGTTCAATATAGTGATGAATTCCTGCTAACTGACAGCACTAAGGTTATTTGAAATGCAGTGTGTTTTGGTCTCATACCTTCATTGGGCATGGGTGGTCTATGACCATGAAGGAAGGAGGACGCACAACTCCAATATGATAATATTATATTATATAAATATTTCCAATCGTGATGGGTGCAAGTTGCAGAGGGATTCCTAAGCCTTCTTCAGTGTATCTTTTGATACACTGAAGAAGGCTTAGGCTGAAATGCGTCTGTCATTTTGTTTGGCCGTGTGTCGCCCTATTAAAACATAGATTTTGACTCTAGTCTTTTGTGAGTGCTGTTGCCTAATAGTTTCTTTGGTCTATGACCATGACATTGCATTTTCAATAAACTTTGTGCTGATTTAAATTCCTGTGCACCTCTCTACCAATGCCTATTTATGTATTAGACAACACAGAGCAAACATGGCAGACTCCAGGAGAGAGGACCTGTTCCATATATATTAGCGGCTCATTCTAAGGTAATAAAAACACAATGCTTATTTTCAGGGGAGTATTATAAACTAATGAAAACATAGTTATGAATATTATATGTCATTTCTGTAAATGGATGCCCCTAAATCCTACACACTGGACCTTTAAAGACACTTTCTTTAAAGACAGAACACTGCTAACCACAGTGATGAATACATTGCCTGTGGCTGCTTCACAATATAAGCCACCTGTATTCCACTTCAGTGTTTAACAGTAGGAAGTTTGGTTTGCATTATTGTTAACCTAATGCAGCTCTGACATGATGGAAATAGAGAGGACAATAAACAGTGAGGCCCATATCAATGACATAAAATTACGTTGGATAACATCTATGCATTGTTTGCCTGTGAATCCCTGGTGCATGTGAAAGTAATACGAGTCTAAGATGGGAATGACAGACTCTGCCACTAACAATGAAAACTGTTTTTTACTGAATGTAAATACACTGAAATGCTATTGCAGAAAAAAGACAATGACAATGAATAGTATCCAAAACTGGGTTTTATGTATTTATGATCCTTCAGTATTTTTCAACCTAGACTCTCTCAATACTGCACCTATATAAAAATTGTTGTCTGGGAAAACAATTTTTATATAGATGCAGTATTGAGAGAGGCCCCTGCAGCCAGCAGCCGCAAAACGGGCTGCAATGTAACCACTCAGGGCAATAACGCCCCATCAATGCACATCCACTAAAAGTTCTTGTTGTTATCACTGACAGGCTCAGATTTTTATTTTTAGTGCATAATTTATGGAAAGAACCTTTACAGAGAAATAAAACATTTTTCTTTACCTTTCACCTGATCTGATCTGTTTGTGATTGTGTGTAACAAAGTCTCGCTCATGGAAAAATCTTGTTCCAAAATGTTGTGAGACATGACTTGTTGCATACAACAGTGTAAACGTTGGTGGCAGTTGGAGAGGATTGCAAAGAATAGTTTGTTGTGTTGGAGTACAGAAATTGTAGTGTAGTGTTATCTAAAGATTTTCCATGTCATGGCTGAATATTTAGCAGATTTTGACTGTGAAAAAATCAGCAAGATTTAAAGATCAGACTACTCCTTGAGTGAGAACAAACTGACCGGATCAGTGAATGTTAATGAAAACATTTAATTTCTCTGTAAAGTCCCTTCCATAAGACACTAATAATAACAATCTTAACCTGTCAGTGGCAAAATAAAGCACTTTTAGTGGCTGTAACTTGATGGTGCACAATTGCTCAAGTGGTTACAATGCAGCCCGTTTCATGGTTGCAGCGCTTCCTCTCAGTACTGGGCCAATTTCAAAAATGACTGTCCCCACAAGTCACTGAGACCCAAAAACATGGGAAAACAGGTTGAAAATACAGTAGTTTCCCTTGAAGAATGATGAAAATGATGGGCACTTTTTCCCCACTTTCGGAAATGTGTTTTCTGAAATGTTGCGTTTAGCACTTAAAGGCCACCATAGTTATACAGTTAAACATCTTTGACACTAAAATAGTCTACTTTGACATTTCGGGTAATTGTGTTCTCACTTCAGTTTGAACTCAGGCTCACAAAACAGAGTGAAAAAAGTCAGGGACCTTGAAAAATTTATGAAGGCACAGTAAATGATTGACTGTAACTCACACACACACATACTGCTAATCTAAAAAGAAACAAAGACAAGTCAACATTTTTATGCCATTTCTGATTGTTCCAAGCAAGTCATTCTCTCTTTTGCATTTCTGCTTACATCTATGGTGAAATGCAGGTCAAGCATGAAATTAAGTCCATATAGATATTCAAATGGTTGTGGGGGAAAAAGTAATGAGAAATTTGCTCCTTAAAGAAGAAAATGCATCCCTCTTGGCTGTGAAGATATGAGGCCCAAGCAGGGATTTCACTGCATCTCTCTCCTTAGCTTGAGTGCACACAACGGATTGACTGTGCAACTTAAATGGGCAAAAGGCCAATAGGTGCAGTGGTCCGTGCAACCCCAAAGATCACACTCTGGTAATGCGCTAGTGTGAGTCTCCATCTACAAGCCATATCATCATCTTTTTTTTTTTATCCCCATGCATAACTGTGACACCCACACAGTAGCAGCCATGTGTATTATGCTGTGTTTAGAGAGGTTTAAGCAGTAGGCAGCAGTCATTATGTTTTCAGCCCTCGCTGACAGCAGTAACTCAAGTAGAACCTGCGCCTTTTGATAACTTGCACATTACCATGCCATTTTAGTAGAAATATGTTGTGTTCTGGTAATGAGATGGAGCTGTAAAGTGTGGAATAAGTTGTCCGGCAGTTAAGTGGCGATGAGGTGAAACTGCAATGTGTTTGTGGGTGCACGTGCGTGTGTGCCTTTTAATTACACAAATTGGGGGACGTTATTCTGAGAGGCACGTTCCATGGGCGGTCTATGAATTGTAAGCAGCGGCGACAAGTGCATTACATGTTGTTGTGGAAGTAAAGGTCAGGGTGTCTTGTCCTCATCAGTCATCCAGTAACTGGCACTGCATACAAACTAGCATTCACATACAAACTTGCTTTTTCTTTTGAAAGTGCATCACATTTTAGATTCATTACTCTTTGTGGGAAATGTACAGTTTACAGACAAGGAGATATGTTTGAAGTAACGTGGCTAGAGACAGGAGTCTTTTTTTTTTATTCGAGATTTCATTTATTCTCGTGTCTTTCAAATTCTACGTGCATCTCTATGGGTCTTTACTGTATGAACCTCTGGTCTTAGATATGTTAAAAAAAAGATACTACTGTGGCTAACACACGCCCTGATTTCCATAACGAGAATAAGATGCAGGATTATGTGCAGAAATGTGTAAAATCTTATGAAACAGCTGTGGAAGTGAAAAAGTAGATGCATAGGACAATGGAGGTGGATTCATATCCCTGAATGTCTGTGTGGCTTTAGATGGAGGCCTGGGCTTCATTACTCTTCCCTGGCTCAGCCTTCACTAGCCCCTGCAGCACACATCACAAAGACTGCTCATTATCCACTGAGTCCTCCTGGTGCCGCTGAGTCCTGCTTGGTGCTGCAGGAACCCTGCTCTGCACTGCCAGTATAATCCCCACCCCACCCACCCACATCCCCACCGTGGTGAAGACCCACGATGGGGATGTACAGGGCTGCCTGTCTGTCTGTTCTCTGATGGTGAATCAGAGAGCCAGAAATCGTTCTACTGACTCCCATTCAATATGCTCTGATCGATAACTCATTGAAGGATTATGCCAGTCTTCCTGTGTAATTATTTCCCTAATTATGACCATGGCCTCCGCAAAGAATTGGTTTGTCTCCGGTTTAGCAGGCAAATTGTTTGGAGAATAGGCCAACTCCTTGACCTCTAAACTGGAAGGATTGGCTAACTGGAGGCATTATAGGGATAGATATGAGATAGCTTAGTAATATTGATTCGGCACTGTCCAGAGATGTCAGGCTGTTTATAATCAATAAGTCTTGAGGAATCATTCCTATAGAATTTCTCCTGCTTAAGAGAAGATTTTAAAATCCAATCTAATGGAAGGAAGAGCTATCAGCGAGAGAAAATTTAATATTGTCTCAGCTGATCTGCACCCTTGAACTCCAGACTGGGAGGAATCTCTCAAAAAAGAAAACTGCATCAAAAGCAGTTCACCTTGCTTATGCAGTTACAAGTTTTATATCCTTTTGTGAGGGTCCTAGGTGGCTCTTACATATTTCTCTATGATATGGTGAAGTGCAGCTGTGGATATATTCATGCCTTTATGTTTTGAATAAATGCTGAATAAAGCTCTCACACAACACGTCTGATTCAAAGAAGAACCATAAACCTTTAATATGTTTCACATAATGCTGTTAAGGGCTCGCTGTGGTCTTGTCTAAATATTCAATCAAAATGGTCTGTAAATGAAATTATAATGGCTTAAAGACTTTGAAAACTTTTTGTTTCTTAAGTATTCCTCTCACATAAACATATTCATGGCTAAATATGCAACAATTAAAGTTCAGAAATAATATCCTCAGTTATTATCAGTTTAACACTCAGAAATTCAGCTAATCTGCTTCCTCAGGATTGTGTGGATGCGCTTTGATCAGATTTGACAGTGCTGGCAGCACAAGCAAACAGCTCTACATCTATCATCGCATTTTGATTCAAATGTAGCTAAACTCTGATTTGTGCACAGAAGTAACATCACCTTTTTATGACTGCGTCGCACTCAGTGAGAAAAGCTCAGACAAAAACACAAATAAAGAGATCTCTTGTGTGAAATCAACAAAGCTTTTCTAACTTTGGCAGAAAATAGCATGTTCATGTTGAATCACATCGCTCAGAGTGAGAGGCTGATTGAGAAAATAAGTTTTCAGGGCCTGCTTTACTTTTAAATCCCACTTTGTTTGAAAATGAAGTGAAT